TGAAGGGTAGTGTAGCGATAGGATAGTGGCAGCCATAGCTGCCATAGCTATAGTAGCGTGTGTGTGTGTGTGTGTGTTGCGTGTAGAGTGTTGCGTGTGGGACATCCAGGGTGATCCAGAGTGCGAACAGTGAGTTGTGTGGGCGCTCAGTCGCCATAGCCAGTTGAAGAGAACTCCTACCTGGTTACAATATCTTGAGTACTGTGTGGGCGCATGTCGCCAGTTTGCTGTTTCGCTGTTTGCATGCATGACAAGTGTGAAGAAGTCGAGTCTGATTGCAATAAATTGATAGTAAATCAAAAACAAATTGCCGCAGGGTCATTCCGAAATTGTTTACAAAATTGGGGGGAAAAAAATAAAAATGATATGGGTCCAGGCTCAAATGCACTAGCCCAGGGAGAAGAAGAAGAAGAAGAAGAAGAAGAAGAAGAAGAAGAAGAAGAAGAAGAAAGGGAACACAACAGCAAAGTGTGCAAACACTGCAAAGCCTCATGGGCGAGTCATGGACGAGAATGAAGAGACAAAAAGAAACCAGCAACACGCAAAGAGCACGAAAAGATGAGGAGAAGGAGAAGAAGAGAAGGCGGACGCACATAGCCATAGGTATATGGTATGTGCAAAAAAAAAAAAGATCAGGCACTCGTTTTCAAAGAATAACGATGAAAGCACAGAAACCTGGGTAGCCCAGCTTCATAGCACATTTTAAATTATTTTTTTGCTTCGTTTTTTTTTTCCATTTCTTTTTCTGTTTTTTTCTCGTTATTTTTTCATTATTTCGATTTTTTTTTTTTTTGTCGTTTTTGATTTTTAACTCTAGTTTGGTTGAGAATTTCGAGATGAGTCTCACACAAAACCCGCGTACACGTACGCCATGCTACCCAGCTACAATTACTATAATAAATTATTAATAATACTACAATAATACTACAATGATTAGTATAATCATTTAGTATAGTGTCAAGTTCATTAACCTATAATAATACTATAATGTCAACTTCATTTAATTCCATATATAATAAGTATTAATAACATAACTCACCGGGTCAATAGCGGGCGCGCCAAAGATGCTTCCCCCACAGTGAAGTCTTGAGACGCAGACCTTCATACTGGAATCCAGAATGTAGAGGTGATGATCATGGGAGCCACACCTTCCGCATTGAGTCGAGTTGGGTTGAAGTAGGGCAGGACAGCCGCAGAGGACAAGCAACGTCAGATTGTCCACAACAAAACAAAAACACACCAACATTGTATGGAGTTGAGTCCGGACTAAAAATAGCTATCTGGCCCATGTGGCAGAATGGTACACAGATGTACCCGTTGCCAAACAGGTAATGAGCTTGAATTCTGGTCGGAAAAAAAGAAAAATGCTCTTTCTTGATTCTATGCGTGGTGGTGTATGCGCATTCGTAGTTGGTGGTGTGATTTGCCTGGCTAATTCCACATAAAAAAGTAAAATAGAAAAAAGAAAGGGCCTTTAGGTCCTAAATTTTCTCCTAATTTCTTTCTATTCCGGGAGCATCAGTCCCGTTCCTTGTCCTTAGGCAAAGCATGACAGCGGCCAGAGCAACCTTCAAGAGCATTGATTGGTCCTGCTTTAGGATGACTCTGTGTGTGTGGAGGCGGGGGGGGGGGTTGTGGATGTGTGTAGGTATGTGTGTGCTGTCAAAGAACCCCAAACTCTCTCCTCATTCCATCCACAAATCATCCACAAACCATCCATAAAACGAGGAAGGTATAGATAGGCAATTTAATAGAAGATGCAAGGTTGGTCACATTTGTGTGGTTAAGTGCCAAGTGCGCACACACCGGTCTGCTGCCGGAGCGGCACACTAGCACGAATATATATATATCATCAAACAGAACAGCCCGGTGAACCGTAGGCAGAGAGGGAGAAGAGGACAACAAACGAGGGGCTGTGACAAACTGTTTTGTCGGAGTTTCAATCCATAAAAGGATGGAGGGCAAAATGCAACATACTTAACAAATGACCATGATGCACCACAACCCAAAAGGCTCCACTATAAGAAAGGCCTGACCATGCCCGCAATTGGTCTGAAAAAGACTTAGAGAGCTCTCTGAGTCGGCCAACAAAGCCACCATGCCACCATAGATCAAACAAACACCACTGTGTGTGTGTGTGTGGGTGGGTGGGTGTTGTCATATTCGCTATACCCCACTCTGTGTGTGTATGTGTGTGTGTGTGTGTGTGTGTGTGTGTGTGTGTGTGTGTGTGTGTGTTGTCTTAAAAGACCCCAGATTCTCTCTCTCATTCCCTTCACAAATCATCACAAGTCATCCATAAAACAAAACGGTTAGAGATAATAATAAAAAATGCACGGTTGGCCACGTTTGTGTGGTTCAGCGCCAAGTGCCCACACACACATCTGCCGCCAAAGCGGCACATTTGCACATATACATATGTACTACAAACTAAAAGAGCGCACTTTGCGAAACAAAGAATAAAAACAAAAAATGGGCACATTGCAAAACTAAAAACAAAAACAAAAAGAAAAAGCAAGGGCAGATTGAAACCATTAAATTTCTCATTCTTCTTTGAACTCCACCTCCACCGACCCGACCTGCTCAAAGGTTGGAAAAAACTTGGAGAGCCTTCCTCGTTGGCCCACCAAACCAAGAACTCATTTACCAAAAACAAACAAATATAACAGCATTGACATTCCCGACATTCATCTCAAACTACACACTCGCATCACTGCCAAACAGGAGAAGCAGATATGATAACTTACCTAAAGACAAAATACTCCTCCAGCAAGAACGCAACCCGTGTGTGTGTGTGTGTGTGTGTGTGTGTGTGTGTGTGTGTGTGTGTGTGTGTGTGTGTGTGTGTGTGTGTGTGAGAGAGAGAGAGAGAGAGA